GTGGAAGTAGAAAAATGGTTGTGAAAAACGTACAAAAAACCTTCCAGACAAGTCGTAGGAATGTTACACAAATGAAGTGATTTTCAACAGACTGGTGAATATAGGACAAATATACAAATCGTAGGTATCATTATCACGTTTTGACTTGATAATTTTGAATAAATTGAGCATTGGGTAGACTGTTATAAATAAAGTAATATATTTGTAATATCCTAATGAGTAGAAAAATTAGATTTTCTGATATTTCATAACTCGGTGGAAGCCACTTCTTCAGAGAATAAATACCCAAATCACAATTAATCCAAGTTTAAATAGTACAAAGGTACAACACAAGAATATTATGTGCGATCAATCAAAAAACAGGTCTGAATAAGTCAATATCATGTCATTTCGGTCAAGGTGATTTATAAGCAACATGTATGTAAATTGGTGTGTGCATGTGTGCAAGGTCAGGGATGAAAAAATGTGACCTTTCGGTGAAAACGGATGGATTTTAATTTGCATTTACGATAATAGTGTGAAATATGTATAATATCAGACGTAGTAGATTGGATAAATAGTCCAAGTCGGATCTATAGTGAGGCCTTCTTTTCTATTGAGAGCAGTCAGATTAAGCATTATATGGAAAGATTCAGCTACTCTCCTTTGTATGTAGTTTGAAAAACCTTTTTGTAATATTTTGAAATCGATTTAGTGGTTGTTGAAAATGGCATCAACTGCTATTACCGATTTAATTTTTGAAGTCTATCTAGTTCTGCGGGATTATTAGGTGGTTTCTTTGTGTACCTATTATATTCTTTGGCTCGAGTCAAGATTTCGCGAGATTACTCCAATATAGAAGGCATCATGATCGACACATCCTAATTTGTACTTACAGTTCTGTGTTTACATAAAGGGGAGTTTTTTCTTTAAGCGAACTAAAGTATTACGTAGTTTGTTCGTTGTTTTGTAATATACATTAATTCTGTTTTGTTTTAAAATTCTTTTGAGTTCTGTTGTACCATGGCGGTATGGTAAAACTGCAGTATTAATCCATGGTATTTCATTCGAGTTATTATTTAGCAGTCACAAAATCTAATTTTTCTAATCATTGGGATATTACAAATATATTATTTTATTTATAAATATACAAATCATTTAGATACAAAAGAACCGTCACTGAGGATTGGATGATTCATTTAATAAAATACACATACATACAATGGGATAAATTACATATTCGGCTAAAGTTTTATTTGATCACTCATGCAAAACTTGATACTGCTCTACTTCTCTATATGACCAATTAATTGTGAATAAAGTTGTCTGTTGTTTCATTAAAACTTTCAGAATCTAACACCAATTAACTTTCATACAACAGTAAATTGTCAGTCTGACAACACCCACGTTTCAATCTTAATTTTGATATAGCTCACCATTAAGAACTGTCAATTCTTAAATAGTCCGGAACTGTTTTTTTTTCTACATCATTTAATCAATTTGTTCGAAAAAAAATTAGCATTATATATTCATAATCAATATACTATTGACTTGTTTTATCATTACACTGTAGGCAACTATTACAGCATTCCCATATTTTCATTGACTGTTTAAATGATTTCATATGTGATGAATTTCATCTCCTTGTACAAATTGTAAGGTCGTGTGTTTGTTAACCTTGAAATCAAAAATGACAGTTGAACAGAAACTTTTAAATTTTTTTATATTTTAGATAACGTGATCACAGTTATATTTAGATTTTAAGAGAATGTGTCAACTTATGGTAATATAGTTCTAGAATACATAATTACAGCATCAGCCTAATGTTATATGTGTATGCATATATTTAAGTAGTTGGTATAGTACCAGTGATGTTCATTAATAAAATAATTTATATTGAATAGACATATACTGTCTTACTACTGATAAACTTAAAGTTCACAATTTTAGACTGTCTTAATTCTTGAGTTCTCTGCAAGTGTCTGGTAGTTACTTGTCGAAGTTTAACAGTCCTCTTTTTTTTCGATTTCCTAGTGTTTAATTTTAGGCTATTGACAATAACCACATTGAAATATGACATTATTATTGTTCACTATCAGTTACAGGTTTGTGTACGTGTTATCGATCCCTACTTTATATGTGAACGCTAATATTACTGTGGTGTATGCTACTTATGTTGACAGATGTAAGTAATGTGTAACACTAATCTGAATACATGCCAGCAGAAGATTGTATTAACGAGAAAAAGAAATGGAATCATAGAGCAGTTGTAATAAAAACAAAATTAAAAGAACCGTGGATCATGTAAAGGACAACTGAAGGAAGGTGTGCAAATAATATACTTAATGTATGGTTTTTAATATTTTAGGAAAGCACCGTAATTTTGCACTAAATCAAGTCTTCGTTTACTACAGTACTACTCGGTTTTCCAAAGTAAAACAGCTTGGTGCGGGATTCAGACCATTGAGTCACCGCTCCACTCAAAATACGCTAGACATGTTTCATTTTTATCAAGATTAATGAAAATATTAATAAAATGATTATATGTCAGTCACTCGTATCATAAACAATTGTGTTCAATTGGTGTAAAAGCGTTAGTTTTTCAATTATCTTGTGATATAATTAAATCCTGTACTGTAAACCTTCTGTATATATCCTAACTGTTGTTCATAAATATTTACTTCAAGTGTATGTACATTGTATGATTTATTGTGTACACTGTTCCATACATACAGTAATATTAATTTTAATATGTAACCAGATAAACTATTGACGTATATTCTATTCAGCGGTAATTTTGTTATTTATTTACCTTTAGGGTTTATATTATAAAAGTTATTCGATCTAACACTTTTTCATTATTAAATAATACTATTATAATTTTGTATATAAATTCAGATTATGATTGTGTATGGTGATGTAATCGACCTGGATAGTTTGTTGAGATTTGAACAAATTCATCTTTCTGTTCTGTAACTATTTAGTTAGTGAAATGGATTTTCCGTTTTATTTTTTCCTATTCATTCAAATAGATAAAAAGTTAATGTACCCTTTCTTTGTGCAAAATTTAAATAGTTTTTGTTAGGTTTTCGGTCATTTATATTTTTTTTAAAAACTGATTTCTGGATAATAGTTAAAATCTGTCTTATCTATATGCTTAGTCATTATGACATTCAGCTATTTGATAACAAGGTTCCATAATCACTTCTATTGTAACATGTTAATATTTGATCATGTACACAAAAAACGTTAATGTGTACCACAACTGTACATGTGCATATTCAGGAACAATTTTATTCAGATTTCATTCTATATAAAAAAATTAATACCACTACTGTTAATCTCTGTTTACTTTTTTGATGATCGTGGTAAAATTGATTTCAACGTTCTTTTCTTTAATTCGTTGATTATGTAATCGACAGTAATATTGTTGACAGAAAACGGATTCTTATTATCACAACTGTGCATTATTGTGAGGTGTATGTAAAAATTGATAAATACTGAACCATATATGTGTTTTAATCCAAATAAATTTACACATTGAGTGTTTCATATACATATACATATAATTATTATTTTCAACGTCGTTATTTTTTAATTACATTGTTCAAATACTGCTAAGGCAGTCGCAAGAATAAGTAGATTTTATTAGAAGGGCTAGGATCTCTTCTGAAATGATAACCCCTCGCATACTTTTTACCAACTTGATTTTCTGCATGACTTCTACCTTCTGATTGGTTGTCATTTTTTTTACTTCACTAAATTGGTACATGCTCGAAGGTGATATCCTCCTACTATAGTAACAAATTTTCTACCCATTTCTTCTGAGTTACTTGTTCTACCACAAATATCATGTTACCTGCAATTGCGTCTTGTCCCAACCGTCGAGGTTTGGTGTGTTGAGCATAATTGATTGTTGTCAGTTCCGAAGAGAACCGATTGTATTACAAAAGTTCAGTCGTTTTCGTTCCTAAATCCGTAACATAGTAAGCCGTACTGAACCCCAATAACAAGACATAACAAATACTGGTTACTCAATATTATTATAGTGTAATAATTTGTATGTCGAATAGTTTTCAACAGAAATGTTGGTTTTATGCTCGATGTTAAACTGAGTTATGTTACTAGTTTCTTCAAAAGATAAATACATTTTACACCTAATTATTTTAATGCATTTACATTCTAGTCATTGTTTTCAATGTAACCTTGGGAAATATAAGGAAAATAATAAATTTCTAATATAAATCTATCTTTCACTCTTTCACTTATAACTGGTTACACATTTTTTCTTTTGGATATTTTTTCGTTGTCATTGTTATGTCGAAACTGTTTGTATCTCTGGATTATTTTGACCGATCAATTAATTTGACTAAAGTATTTTACAGTCACTAAATCAGTTAATTGAATTCTGTTCATTCTTTGATTGATTCAATCTGATTGTGTTCGTAATATTCTTCTTTAGCCTAATAATAGTTAATATGATTGTACTATCATCGATGAAGCTTTTCACTAAGGCTAGATTAATTTTGGCATGGTAGTTTCAAAAAGCACGACGAAATTTCGAGAGGCTATAGAAGAACCCAAGAGATCCCGTCGAATCGGTACTCAATTGAGCGTTCTATAATATCAATGTTGCATGCTACGATTGGACAATTTCATAATTTGCCTCCTTGCGGATCGGCTTAATTATAGTGATGGTATAGTCAATACTAATGACTATATATACCCATGTTTTTCCGTACATTTTTGATTCTTACTCAACAGTCATCTACCATATTTTTGCGCCTTTTGATTTGCAACTTTAAGGTTCTACATGTTAGAGTGCCGCTGGTTCTGTGTCGTATTCTGTCGTAGAGGACGTAACAGTGGTTGTTGTTATATATGGTCTGGATAAGTAATGTAAATTACTCGATTGAAGCCATTCAATTTTTAAAGAAATTAGTTCAGAGTGTTTTTTTCGTACGTGAACTATAGTTGTATCATCTGCTATCTGTTTTTCTTGCTCTATTATTTGACTATAGGCTTATTCTACTGTTGGAACACCGGATTATATTGCACCTGAAGTATTTCAACATCATGGTTATACAAATTCGTGTGATTGGTGGTCACTTGGTGTTATTATGTATGAAATGCTGATAGGTAAATAAACAGTTCCGATTTTTGCTCCAATTATTGTTATATACATTGAAAAGTATTATTTTTATTCACGATACTTTACATAATGTTCCACGTTTTAGGGTGAACTAACGAATTCAAGTTGATGCCATAAGACTCAAAATATCCTAAATTCAATGTATTTCGGGGTCGTGATTGGTCATACTGTTGAAGACGTCTATATTATATATTTAGTGTTCCTTAACTAATATTGTTCCCTAACGGAATCGATCATCGTACTGGACAGTCTTCGTTAACCTCTTATTAATTACTTACTCCTGCTACTCATCGTGAATGAGCATAGGCTTCCCACCGTAATACCCCATTAAAACTCTATCCTTGGCAATCCTTTCCAGTTCTTACCGGTTGCTATTCATTCTTTTGATATCTGCTTCTAATTCCCAACTCAATGTGTTGCTTGGTCTTTTCGTTTTCCCTTCAGGATAGTAACCAAATATTTAGAGAAGTGGCAAGAAGCGACAATAGTATATCAATTATGGGTAGTTTGTTCTGTCAATTATATTTTTTAAAATAGTCAAAATTCTATCGAATCCATTTTTATGGTACGATATATAAGAGTATAGTCAACATTAAAATTTAATTAAAAAATACATTCGTATATATTTGTCTAAATTTAATCCTAATTAAATTTGATGTTACCTTGACAATAATGAATTTTAACAGCATGATTTTCAACTCGAAACAAAAATACACTGACAACAACTTTAATTAGACATAAAGACAGCGTGTTTGTGTATTTATATATATATGTGTGTGTGTTTATCTTGATTGACTATTACAAACAGCACTACCATTATGCATTGCTTGATTTGTAAATAACGTCGACTTATCGTTTCATGAGCATATTGTTTACAGTTGATCTATGAATAATTAATTATTCATTCCATTTGATAATACGTGAATGTTAATTTTTCTTTTATTGATTCTTATTATGCATAAACCTAGTGATTATTAAATAATGTCTGTCTTGATTTTCGTATGTTACTCATCAAAAAAATTTAGTCATGACCTCATCTCCCTACGTAGTCATAACTAATATTAATGTTCACAAAATCACTTAATCTATAGGCATGTTATTATTATTTGAACACATTAATATTGGTACAAAGGGGCACCCAAAACATATGCGCCACACAAGTCACTTGGTTTTTGTGTGGGTTGTGATACTGTCCGGGCGCCCAATCCAAAGCATATTAGTTGCTAGTTTTGAAATAGACTTTTTAAAGTGCAAAAAAACCTATAAAGAGAGTCACTCATATTAGGGATGTGCGATAGTTGCTTATTGTTCATAAATTGTATTAAAGATCATATTTATTATTTTCTTTTTTATTGGACTGGTCAAAAATACTGAACTTTCAATTCCAATGTAAACTATATTCATAGTTGGTTGTAGTCATTAGATTAAATCATATTACAAAAAGTTCTACAAAATTGAATTGATAACAAGATGATTCTATGATAAGAGATAATTATTCAAAAAATACTTCCCACTGAATAACTAATTATCTTACCATATACCATCATATGTGAAACTCCTTTATTAGAGACTCATTTTATGTTGAAATGTATTCAATTTCTTGAAATAATTCATTTATATTACTTCGTAATGTTTAAGTTAATTCACAAGTATAATATGTAGATGATGTAAGACGAAAATAATACTAATTTGGAATACTGACAACTGTATCATTTGTGCTAGATCAGTTCAGAATGGTACTTGAATAAACCTCCAATATTTGTTACTTTTATAGACTTATTATTATTATCGGCATTATTGTTTGCACTTTGTTATTCTCTTTTCACTTAATTAATAGTTACTTGTCAGTATAGGGTTGTGCTGATTGTTGAATTTTAATTAAGTTCATGAACTGATCAATGCAGATCACCAATGAAAAGCTTAAAGCACTGAATCTCAACTAAAACTGAACAGTTTTCACAACCCTATACTAATAATCATCATGTGCTCACTAATGACTAGCTTCCAGAGGTAATTCTTGGAGTTCTAGTGAGAAGCTGTGACCAGTGGATTTAAACTGTGTCTGATGTGAGGCAATTACTCATCAAAGACATTGGAGGGTGGTCGCGCAATATCGTGGATTGGTTGAAATTATACATTAACACCGTTGGATGCCGGCCCAGTGGTCTATTCATTTATTTATTTGAACGAATAGACATTGGTACAAAAGGGCACCAAATACATATGCGCCACACAATAACAATGAGGCCAGTAGCAGTTATGACTGTTTTGCTTAAGAGTTTGGATACTTTTTGGGTATCAGACCGAAGCAGGTGGTTTTCTTAGAGGGCCACGCCTGGAGTCTTCGACCTAAAGGTCAGACCCACAAGGTAGTGGAGCAATGTCAGGAGTTGCAGCCCCCACGGTAGCCGGTGACCAACGATTAGTTCTACATATCCACCAACCAGGTTAAAGCGCTGGACATTCGCTTTTCGTCCTCTCAATTTCGTAAACAACAGCAACGCCTCAAGAAGGCAGTGAGTAGGACTTCCCTGTTAGTAGTCGTTCACGCGTTGCCATGTGAGAGCATTTCGAGAGGGAGAGTGAACTCTCCCTACCCTCAACAGTACCGAAGCATTTGAGGGCTCAGTGGTTTAGAGATTAAGCGTTCGCGTGCGGTGTCGGATGTCCTGGATTCTAATCTTATGTGTGGGGTTGTGGATGCTCATTTCTGAAGAGTCCCATACTAGGTCGACTTGGCTATCCAGTGCTTGAAGGTTCTCAATGGTGGTCTATCGTAATTCGGTTTATGATCTCAATTAATTGTTATTTTATTCTTTTTAAAATTATCTATTCACTCATCTGTCATTTTGACTAATCGGATTTTTACAATGTATGTAAATTCCTCAAAACTTCTGAGATTATTACATTACCCATCGTATTGATTTCCGGATTCTAGGTAATCAACTGCCCCAATCCCGTTTGAGTAGACCTTACAAATTCCTATATATATATATATATATATATATATATAGGAATATTTTTTTCTTGTATAGAGTTTTACAAAAATGGGAATTAACTCTATGAAATTATTATTTATAAGTTGGTATTACTTCCAATTCTAGTCTTTGAAAAAGTATTGAATAAAGGATGTTGTAGTGGGAATAATGTAGAGTAAATCTACTTTTTTATAAATGAAATGAAGTACGATTTTGTTACCTGAGTTTCATAAACAATATGACTGACTTATTACTTAGTACCGCTTCTAATGTTTTTACAAAAAGTTTGTTTTTGTCAATTCCATATACTTTACTATTATATTTATGCCGAGATAGTTTTTATGGAGACAATCAACAACAATTATGTCATTTCATTCTTTTCCTTTGAAATTTTCATCTTATCATTCACAGGCTACCCACCGTTTTGTTCAGCTACACCACAAGAAACGTATAAAAAAATTATGAGTTGGAAAGAGGCATTATTTTTTCCACCTGAAATGCCCATTAGTAATCATTCAAGAAACTTAATACAATCTTTATGTTGTGGGGCAGAAACACGTTTATCAAGTATTGAAGATATACGAAAACAACCATTTTTCCATGCAGTTGACTGGGAGCATATACGCGAACGACCTGCAGCGATTCCAGTGAATATACGTTCAATTGATGATACTAGTAATTTCGATGAATTCCCCAATGCTGATTTAAGTTGGCGTAAGTTGTGTGTGTATTTTTTCTTATTTTTTTGTTAAATCCTCACACACCTATATAAAGAGCCATTTTAAAGTACTCATTGATAACAAAGCGATCGGATTGCCTAAATCTCAAATACAGTTATTTCTGTATAATTTTCCTACTATCAGTATTACACCTAATAATCTCTTGATGTTCAGTAATATTAAATGTTTTCATCTGTATTCAATGATCAGAAGATACTAGCGGTATTCATCAACTTTTTTTGAACATATATTTTACAAAATCTAGGAATCATGATAGTTCAATGGTAGTGTATGATTATATCATCCTCCCTTACTCTTTTGTTTAGTATTATGGTAAATTCCCTGATCGTTTTAACTACTAATTAAACAATGTTAATGTGATCTTGAGGAACTCCAACCACTTAATAGAGTCAAAATAGGTTTATGGTCTCTCGTTAAATGATTTTATATGCGCATAGTTTAATGTAAGTTATAGAACACTAAAGATCTATGCGCATAACATAAAGAAAACAATTAAAATTATGGCTGTACGGATTTAATGCATCACGTGGCTCAAATGTTTTACCTTTTCTGTCCATAAAAACCACATGATCAGCTGCAGTGTGTGTATATGTTTTTAATGTACTTGTAATGGTGTTGTTGTTCCTAGAACGTAATAAAAAGTGTACAAAATGCACTCTGAATAAAGAAACTGTCAATATGTGTTGTATTGTTTATTCTACTGTAACAAAACTTGCTTTTCTGTAAGCGTTTACACGCTATAGCAAAGTAATTTTGTCATTCTGTACAAAATATTATGATCCAACGTATTTAACTTACAATAAAGATTAGTATCGAGTATTGTATATTTGGTTCAAATAGCTATCCTTCTATCAAATTAGACCAAAGTTTAAAATTATCAATCTTACACACAAAAAATATATATTTCTTCCTCTTTCCTTAATGTTAGATGTTAATCCTGGCTGATATATTTTCTATGCATTAGTTTATAATTTACCTGTGAGTGTGGTTTTTTTTAACAGTCTCAATGTGTCAATATGTGGTTGTGGAGAGTGTTACGTTTTTGACTAAGATTATGAATCGATTGGTGTTAGACCACCATTGAAAACCTGGAAGCACTGGACGGCCGTCTCGTCTTAGTATGGGGCTCGTCAACAGTGCGCATCCACGATCTCGCAGTTTCGTGGGTTGGTTGAAGCTAGATACAAACATCATTAGATTACCGGCTTACCGATCTAGAGGTTAAGCATTCGCACACGAAACCAAAGATCTTGGGTTCGAAGCCCTCGGGTGGGATCGTGGATGTACACTGCTAAGGAGTCTTATATTTGGACGAAACGACTATCCAGTGTTTCTTGGTTATCAGTGGCGGTCTAACATCAATCGACTCATGATCACAACTAGAAAATCTCGATGTATTCTGTTTGAGTGAATGGTGTCCTTTTTTCTAAAATGTATATACATATAAAACTCTTCAAATAACGATGTATGACTCATCTAAATATCAAGTTTAATGTGAGTCTGTTTACTAATATATATATATATATATATATATATATATATATATATATATATATATATATATATATATATATATATATATATATATAATATCGATTAGTTTCCTGTCATCGATGTTATAAAAATAGTGATTATCCTCTTGTGTTTGTATATTTAAGAGAAGGCAATTCCTAGTTTATTTCATACACATAGTTCCCTTTATTATCTTAAATAGAGCAAGAACAAAGATTGGTGCAGAATAATATGAATACATTTTATTTCGTTAGGTTCTCATCAGCTGCTTACAACCTAAATTATTTGAAAATTCAACATTAATACAAATATTGACATATTTATATATAAGAGTGTGATTAAGGATCAATACATGTGTATGATGATGTAGCGAATATTCAGATAGAGTTAATGAGCTTAATATACACGTTAGTTAGTCATCGAAATTTCTACTTTTTCTTTTACAATTAAGATTTTAAGTGTGCTCAAAATATAGTTTCTATGATGGTGAATTTGAACTAACAGTGTTCAATAGTCCTGTGGGTATTATACAATTTATTAGTTATTCCATACATAGGTAGGATAAATTGACAATCAATTAGGGTTATGTAGTGTCATGGATTGATTAAAGTTAGACATTAACATCGTCGAATGACGATTCAGTGGTTTAGAAGTTAAAGGTTTACATACGAGATTAAAGGACCTAGGTTCGAGTCTCGCATGCAGGATCGTGGATACACATTACTAAGGAGTCGCATAATAGGACGAGACGACTATCTAGTGCTTTCAGGTTTTCAATTGTAATCTAGCTTAGATCGTCTCGTGGTTTCAACTATGAAAATTCTACAATTTCCACAAATCTCCATACTATTAGTTAAAAGTTAGTGAAATGTAAATTTGTGCAATATTTCTACAGGATTTATTCATTTGTACAAGTTTAGAGTTGATATTCTAATTCTACAACGAAAATATTTTCAGTATAGAAATGTGTACTTTTATGATTGTAGATTAGTTTTTCTCTGGATTTACTCCATTATTTATCGTGTTTATTCTCAACGTTTTTAGTCTTGTTCAGCATCATTATTATTACCGCTATGTACATTTTACATCTTATTAACTTTATCTCATCGTATAGTCATTTGATTAGATTTAAACTTGTTCCACTTACTAACTTGATATAAATAATTATGCAAATGCTTCTGTCTTCTACTTCTAAAGTATATATTGTTCGTGTTCATGAATACATTTTTTTGATTTAATTAGTCTAATCAATAATATCTAATAAGTTAATATCGTTATGAATTCATTATTGTGTTGGTTGTTTGAATCACTCCACTGATGTTTAGGACTGCATTTGATCAATCCCTTATTAGCGTATGTGCATTCTGTGTGGATTGCCTCGATATTGCTTTAAGTCACAAGCATTGTAGGCAGAGATGGATAGTGGCTAGCAGTGGAATCCAGAAGGCACGTTTCGTCTTATTTGGGACTCGTCAGAAGAATGTACCTACACCATAGAGTTTATGTCCACTCTGGGACTCAAACCTAATATTTTTCACTTCAAACGCTATCACGTTATCCACTTAGCTACTGAGTCCAGTCATCCACCAGCTTGTGCAATAGGGTGAAGTTTTAATTCATTTTTAGATTGATTGTTTAGGTTTTCTCATTGATGTTTAGTACTTCAATCAATCAGTCTCTTATTGGCATATGTGCATGTTGTACGAATTGCATCGCATTACCTTAATCCATAAGCATTACAAGCAGATCTCTGCTTATTATCATTATTATTACTATTATTATATTGAAGTATTTATTATTAATTAAAGTTAATAATCTTCATTCTACTTTTCTCTTTTAAACTCATTTATTTAGCTAATGTTACAGATCCTATGAAAAGCTATCAGAAAAATTTAGCTTTTATAAATTATACTTATAAGGCATTTGATGGTTGGACAAATAACGACCGAATATTAGATCGTCAATTATATCAACAACAAAAATTTCAACGCCATCAAACTGCCTTATCATCTAGAAGTAGTATACTGTCCGATTTAACTGGAATAAAGAATAAATCTTCAACATAATGAATTAATTCTTTATTGATTACACATTAAATTACCTATTTCCACCTCCGTTCCCCTCGTCACACACATATATTTATATATAACTAGTGTTTCGTATCTTAACATCTTTGTACCTATCTCTCATATTTGTCACTGTTTTGTTTCTTTTCTTCTGGTTATTTTTTTGAGAGATCTTTTCTTATAAATAAAACTATCAATGTAGTTTTAAAAAAGTTTGGTTATTATGTATATCACTTGAAAAATTACCTTTTGTCTTTCCATGAACTCCTTACTATATAATCATCACTCTGTTGTATTGTTTCATAACATTGGCTCACTTGTATTTGTTTCTTTTGTTACTTCTTTTTCTGCTTCACTTATTCCCTCTGTTTACACGAATATTTGTATTTCTTTTTTTCTGGATTGAGTGCTTCTTTAAAATGGAGGAAATATTGTTCTTCAATATGTATAGTGTAATTGAACTGTTGAGATGAAAGCTCTTTACATTTTGCTGTTGATTATTGTTCCATTCAATTCTGTTTGTTATTCGCATGTATTCTGAATTGTCTTTTAGAGTACTGATGATTGTTAATTTGTAACCATTTCAGTGTATACCACATTCCCACGTTTCTCCTAAATTGCATTCCTTGGACAATAACATATAACGTTCCATATTTGTTCAAGTTATAGTTTTTTTATTCTGCCATATAAAATGTGCCTTGTTTCATCTTTTTCTTTCTTTTTTAGGTTGTTACTCTCACGTCACTGCTTTCTTTATATTCACTTCATTCTTGTAGATTTTCTCGGTTTCTATCCAATCTGTTTTGTTCTGCTCAATTCTAATCTGTTTCGTTTACTGTTCAGCTTTTTTGCTTTAATGAACTGCATTATCGTACTGCAATTTTAATTCAGACCTAGTTATTTCAAGACTAAGTTGACTAATGTCTGTTTATATGTTTATCTGATGTTCAGTCCATCTATTGTTTGTAATTACCTACTAGTTTACTATTTCTACAAAGAGATTATTATCATTCATTTAAACCAAAAAGTATATATTTTTGTCTACTAATATAATTAATAATAATACTTCTACAACTTTCACCATTGAAGTGAACAAATTAATTTATCTTTACACTTTTTGATAGTTCCATTGTTTTCTTCGAGTTAATAATCACACCAGTCAAACAAGACGACTTTTTTCTCTCTCTCTAAACTTCCATTTCATTCATGTTCTATGAATAATGCTGAGAAACAGAGATTTTCGTTTTATTTACATACAAAATCAGATTCGAAATCTGTGCGCATCGATGGTATTTTTATTGAAGTATACAACCGGTTTTAGTTATGTTGATGATGATCTATTTATTGTAAAAGAATAAAAGCTTGAATGGTAAAACCATAGAAAAAAATCATAGAAATCATTTTGACTACTATCTAATTTTCGGTTAATAATTATTCAACCAAATCTCTCAGAATAATGGATATATCTGTCCAATTGATATTTCAGTCATTCACACACAATAAGGATGATGATAACGTGGTCACTTTTTTGTTGATTATGACGAATCTTGGAACAAACTACTACGTTGTCTCGGATAGAGTTTCTTCTTATTCTTCTTTCTGCTTATTTTTGTTTATTCACAAAGAAGTGATATTGTTTTGTTCCTCTAATCTATCTTCTCGGTCTTCTCTGTCAATTTACTTGGAATCTGTGTTATTATTGATTCTCGTTATTATTATTATCATTATTATTCCATCTTACTATAGACATTACTATTTATCATCATTTTTAGTGTTCTGTGTACAATAGATGATGAATAAAAGAATTGTAACCCTTGTAATAATGATGATATTTTTACATCCATTATTTTTCATATCAGGATGAAATTTAATAGAACATATTTTATTGTCATCTGTTTAGTGAATCTAAATCATTATATATTATGATCAATTGTACGAGCATATTTTTCTCCGTACTTAGACCAATAATCGATAAAATGCTACTAGCAAAAATTACTACTGTCAATCAGTTTCTTTTTCATTGGTATAAGAAATCAAAGCGAGCGAAATTTATTGAAAAGAAAAGTGAACTTGTAATAGAACAAAGCGAAGTGACGCGCAGGGGAGATGACTGGTAAACCAACTCCATTTTTAGCCAGGCGTTACTCAATATTTATAGGCAGACAAAAATAAACTACAGACATGGGATGTGAAGTGTACACACATATACGCTCATATAAAAGCAGTCAAGACTGATAAGCGAATAATTAACAAGGTCAAAATATGACTCAAGTAGAATGAATAGATTGGTTTGTTCAAAAACTAGAATAAGATATATTATGGGCTTAAAATAATGACTGACATTACAAACTTCTCACTGAGAAGAAACAATCCTGCATAAAATTATAAATTCTTCGGTTTCTCAGTAGTTTGCATCACAGAATCACATGCCGAGTAACTAATCGAAATTATGAACTAATATGGAACTTATCGTAAATTCACAAACGGAATCCTGCTGCTAGTTTTCACTGGGATTGTAGTTAAAGTTATGTAGTGGAGTGATGGCGTACTGGTCAACGGGTTCAACTTTTGACCATTAGATTACAAGTTCCAGTCTCCCTCCATCCACTTTGATTTAGACAACCTGGTGGTATCACTAGCATTGACTGAAAAACTTCATCAATCATGAGAATCACAAACATTTTGTGCTATCTATTTTAAATTATTAGCTCCTCGTATTATTCCTTATATCGCTATGATTGAAATAACAATCAATCACCCGTCATAGTGTATCGTTTTTCCCATGAGTACAATGTGATTGTCATATTGTTGATTAATAATTGATTATCAAATTCCTCAGAGTAATGAGTTTTTACAGAAACAAAATCAACTACCACGTGTGATAGCTGCTTTTTGTCTTAACTCAAGTCTACACTACCGTGTATTAGCGATAACTTCATTTCACAAAACAATCGATAGTTTTTGAGAGGTAATGAGATAACACATGGTTTATTAAGTTAAAACCTGGCCTGTCATGTGGATCTCTTCGTCCGATTAGGCCAATAACTCAGGCGGAAAAATGCGTATCTTTATTCATTTTAGAATAGAGAGTTTAAGTGTTTGCTTGCGAAACTGAAGGTCCTAGGTCTGAGTCACGCGTGCACGGTCATGGGTGTGCACAGCTGAGAAGTCCCATACTAGGACGAAACGGCTGTACAGTGCTTCCAGGTTTTCAATGGTGATCTAGCTTATATTGGCTCATAAATTCAACTGTTAAAATTATATGGAACTTAATGAATGTTAAAAATAAACAACATTCCTGTCAAATGTCAACAAAGACTTAAATGAAATATGTACTTCAACAACATATTCTACTTATTCACTTTCAATATCAGCTGTATACTAGAGGGTTGGGACAGACAAAACAATGCAAGTGATATTGTCAATTCATATCTTCATTCTATCATGTAAAATCTTAGAATGTGAATAATTCAATTGACCAATTCATTATTATCTCTAGTCTGAACTGATCGTCACCATTTTACGTTTTGTGCTTATAATTTCTCAACAACAACAAAAATAGATTGTGCGAATTATTGTGTTTTTATGTTTTGTAATTTAACATCGATATTATACACCGACTTGTTTTTCATAAACTTATGCACAATACAACTCATTAGTATCTTAGTTATACAGTTTGATTTTCGATTTATCAAATATCTTACACATAAAGTAATATTTTCATTTATTGATTTCATTTAAAAGGAATTCCGAAATGATAGTTCAGTTAAACAAGTGTCAATGTGAATATGCTTTTAATAGTAAATTTTTGCCTGTTATAGATACCTTTCTTACTCTTAGATCAATTAAGACTAGTAGATTAGAATTAGAACGTACAGAGCCATAGTATAATCAAAACCACATTACATAATAAGCTATTTTTGTTATTCATTGGATACAGAACAGTAAATGCATATCTGTACACTGAAAAGTTTGCCATGATAAAGTTCGAAAATAACGTTATGTATAAATAGATCTTTAATTCATAAATATGGGATTATTTTAAATACATAAGAAAATCATGTAAACTCTAAGTTTGGTCAATTCAAGATGGAGTTTCCAAAAGAAAACTTTGTGAACATTGTTAAGCCTCTTAGTTCACATGGTTACGAAACAGATAGTAGTTTTTACATTCCAACTTGAAATTTAAATCTATAAATTTACCAATGTTCAGTTTTAGTCAAATGCTTTTCAACAATAACATTTAACGTGTGTAGATGTTTCTGAATGTGTTTATTTTAAACTTACATTTGTTTCACCAGTTAAAATATGAATGATGAAGTTCAGTAGATTTAACACATCAGATCTATTACGAAATTAGTTAAGTATGTTAATATACACACATACGAACGCACAAGTATGTATTACCTACATAACTGCAATGAAACTTGGATTGTTGTGTTTTTCTTGTTGAAAAAAAGAAACAATTCATAAGAAAAATTACAACAAACCTGTCAGTTGGGTCAACAGTAAAAAGTACGACTTCCTGTAGAGTAGTTGTAATGTTTCTTTTTTTCAAAATACACATTTGACATTGGAATAAGTTTATCTTTAATTAATTCACGATATTGCCCAACTGTGTTCAAAGGTCACTGGTGTAAAACTGTCTAACATTGGACATGGTTTGACTTCACTGGTCACCAAATCTCACTAGAACATCGGGAATCACCTCGTGAAAAGACTTCTCCGAATCTTTGTTCCATAGTTGTAGTAGTTATACTTAGAATTCCCTATGAAATGCTACTGACTTCTCCTGTAGTCCTAGGGTTACTGCCGGTCCCAAGCCCACACAAAGGATGAGGTTTGGGCAAGTAGTCGATAACTTCATCCCGTAGATAATAACCTTGCTAAAAAACACTAACCAGAATAAACAATTTACATCACTTAAAATCTGCCCTCCAAATACAAGGAAGAATTATGACGCTTCATGATGAAAGCCGCGAAACGACCTGACCGTCCTGATGGGAGATCTAAACGTCAGAGTCGGAATACACAACACCGGATACGAAGATATCATGGGACGACATGGACTGGGAGAGAGAAACGAAAATGGGGTGAGACTTGCAAAAATCTACGTGCATTCAACAAATTGGTTATGGGCGGTACAATATTCCCACACAAAGGCATACACAAAGATACATAACTTTCACTGGATCACACCACACAGAACCAGATTGATCATATTTGCATCAGTAAAATGTTCAGAAGGACATTGGAAGACGTGAGATTCAGGAGAGGAGTTGACATAGCTTCAGATCAAAACCTGGAGATTGCGAAGATGAGACTAAAGCTAAAGAAATACTGGACAACTAGAGAAACAACACTACAAATGTTCAATGCAGCCTTCCTTCGAGATACTGACGAATTCAGAATAGTTCTGAACAACAGGCTCCAAGACTTTCAAGATCTACTGAAAAAAGAAGAAACTACTATAGAGAACAATTGGAAAGTGGTCAAAGAAGCATCAACTTCAAAGTGTTAGGAGGTGCTGGACCGTAAGAAGCAACAGTCAAACAAGAACAGAAAAAGTCGAGGCACAAGCTGAATATATTGAAGCAAACAAGAAAGTGAAGAAGGGAACTAGAGTCGACAAGCAGAAACAAATGAAAGACCTAGTAACGACAATGGAAAAAGCTTCAAGAGAAAGGGATATCAGCCAACTATGTGATATAATGAGGAAACTGACAGGGAAATATTGTAAGTCAGAGAGACCACTCAAGTACAAAGAAGGCAAGACAATTACCGAGATTCAAGAAAAGAAGAACAGATGAGTGAAACATCTTGAGGAACTCTTGAATAGGTCAGCTTTATTAAGCCTATCGGACATCAAAGCAGCACACACAAACCATCCTACAGATGTCATTCCACCAACGATCTAAAGAATCAGGATGGAAAACTTCTAAAACTATCATCGAAAATGTACAAGTATTTATAAACAATCGTCTACGTAAGATACTGAGTATCTGTTGGCCGGATACCATCAGCAAAAGCCTACTATGAGAGAGAACAAACCAACTTCCAATTGAAAAGGAAATTAGAAAAAATTGTGTAGTTAAGTAAGTAATGAGATGCTGTCAGATAGCTGAATTTTTTTAAATATGGGCTTCCTATTTTTTAACCACCGTGCTATAATTCAATTTTATTTTATGATATTTAACTACAGTCTCAGTTTAGGAAAGAAAGGAGACTAGATGGCTTGTGTTAGTCTTGGCAGTGTTTGTTTCACAGTTGATCCAACCTTCTTTCTAGTGCGTCAAAAGATGGAGCTTCAATTCACGTGTTGAGCTAATGAGTTCCATTCGTTGATGATTCGATGGAAAATGTGATAGTCAGCTGACAAGTAATATTTTCTGGGTTTGAGAACGTGTACGACTGTTCAGTGTGCATCACTTCCGCGTGGTCCAATAAGGTTAAATGAACATAGTAGAATAAAATTAGAAGATGAAAAAAACATTTAAAGAAACGAAGAGATCATCAAAGAACAAAGAATATGAAAGTTCACTTGTTCAGAATTGTAAAATAACGTTACATTTGAATCGTTGGTGGAACTTTGGATGTTTTGGCTTATAATATCGCAGAAAATAGAGTTCTGAATGCATCTTAGATTTTATATTGCAATAACTTGATGAAATACTAATTTATTTAAAACAAGTAGTTCATTTGATGCAATGAGAAGACGAAGTTTATCAGAATTATGTGATATATTTGCGCAATACATTTCGAACAATCTGATGAGATGCCATTTTTTACTTTTATTCTTTTCCAGACAAACAGTGAAGATCTATATATGTTCAGAGAGGCTCAGTAATGTTCTTCAATCAGATGCGTGACAGTTGTGTAAAAGTTACACTTTGTATTTAATTTTTACTGACGTTTTACTGTAATTCACTTGAAAATAGAAGCAATAATATTAATCATTATCGTTACTTCTAAGTCCTTGAATCATTGCTGTTATGATGTTGTGGAAG